CCCCCGGGCCAGTGCTCCTCTGAGTGTTGTCCAACCCAGAGCACCGTGCGGGGCCGTCCCTTGGCAACTTGGGTTACGTTGGCTTCTGTACGCTTAGCTTATCCGGTGTGCCCTGATAACGAGATATGTGCAGCTCCTATCGGGATTTGTCGGCACAGCGAGTGGTCTTGCTGGACTTGTTTTACCATTGTCGAGGATGTCTTGTAACCGGGATGCCGAGTCTGATCGGATTGTCTTGGGAGAAGGAATATCCTTCGTTGACCGTGAGAGCTTGTGATGGGCTAAGTTGGGACTCCCCTCCAGGGATATGATCTTTCGAAAGCCGTGCCTGCGGTTATGGGCAGATGGGAATTTGTTAATGTCCGGTTGTAGATAACCTGAAACTTAACTTAACTAAAATGCACCAACCGTGTGTGTAACCGTGATGGCCTCTTCTCGGCGGAGTCCGGGAAGTGAACACGGTGTTGGAGTAATGCTTGACGTAGGTTATTCTAGGATCACTTCTTGATCATAGTTGTTCGACCGTGCTTTTGCCTTCTCTTCTCGCTCTCATTTGCGTATGTTAGCCACCATATATGCTAGTCGCTTGCTGCAGCTCCACATCATACCTTTACCTTACCTATAAGCTTAAATAGTCTTGATCGCGAGGGTGTGAGATTGCTGAGTCCCCATGACTCACAGATTACTTCCAAAACCAGATGCACGGACCGATGATACCGCTCCAGATGATATGATCGAGCTCAAGTGGGAGTTTGATGAAGACCCTTGTCGTTACTATGTGTCTTTCCCAGATGATCAGTAGTGGTGCCCAGTTGGGGCGTTCGGGGACTATGTTGCTTTTGGGGTTTATCTTCATTTTGGTTCCGTAGTGGGACCTTGAGTGTATTTGGATGAATGTAATGTTATTTATGTATTGGTGTGACATGGCGAGTGTAAGCCAACTACGTATCTTTTCCCTTATTGTATTACATGGGTTGTTTGCGAAGATTACCTCACTTGCGACATTGCTTTGAATGTGGTTATGCCTCTAAGTCATGCTTCGACACGTCGGAGATATAGCCGCATCGAGGGCGTTACACAACAAAAGTAAAACTCAAATGATGGTCAGCCCGGCGATAGGTAAATAACTATCAAAGAAATCTCCTTCTTCTTTCTGGGTATAACCCTTGGCCACAAGTCTAGCCTTGTACTTTTCTATCATACCATCAGGCCTAAGTTTCTATTTGAACAACCACTTACATCCCAATGGTTTGCAACCATAGGGACATTCAGTGTTTTCCCATGTCCCGCTAACCATGACGGAATCCATCTAGCTATGGACCACATCATTCCAGTAGTCCGCATTCGGAGATGCCTAAGCTTCTAGAATAGAAGTGAGAATATCATCGACGAGGTACACAAGAAAATCATTACCAAAGGGCTTTGTAGTCCTCTGATCTTGCCCCTACCAGGAGCTTCCTCATCATCCACCACATGATTTTCATCATGTGCTCGTTCATAATATTCCATAGGAATGGCATGCTTGGGAGTCTCCTCAGATTCCTGTTTAGAAGTGATTTTCATATCTCTCATAGGAAAATATCCTCAAAGGATGTACCATTTTTAGACTCCATAATCGTACTGACCTTCAACTCAAGTACCTCAGACTTCACCACTAGAAATCTATAGCCAACGCTTTGGTCCAAGCTTATGCTTTCTGGGGCTCGACACATTGACTTTCGCTAAACAACCCCAAGTGTGTAAGTAAGAGAGTGTATTTCTTCTCATGTCCCATTATTCATAGGGAGTTATCTCATTCTCTTTTGTGGGAACCTTGATGATTCTGAAGAACTTGTTGAAATAGGAAACTTCAGTTCCACTTTTGGTAGATCCTAAGATGCTCTTGGACTTCATCAACATATGGTGTGATAATCCAAGACCCCCTATGATCTCAAGATTCCTCCCGGGCCAAAGCATATGATCATTATCGCTCAAGATTAACGGTCTACATATCACAGACGTAATGCTTACGTGGGATTATGCCATGAATGATCATAATTAGAACTATGCACAATTTTGTCAATTGCTCAACAGTAATTTGTCTATCACACCATTTTTATGCTTTCGATAGAGATGCCACTAGTGAACTTATGGCCACCAGGTCTATTTTCCATTAATACAGAAAGTCTTCTACAATTGTTCTTTTTACTCTTTTACTTTTTGTCACTTTACCTATGTGACAGGAACTTCCTAGGGACTTTTTTCAATATCTTCTTTGCCTAGGGTGGTTTCTGTAATTTGGGATAGGTGTCCCGTGTATGGATGTTTCCATAATGTTGTATTGTTTTCCTTGCTAATATAATCCAGATATGGCCTCTCGGAGAAAAAAGAACTGTGATCGCATCCTCTTTCAATGTATTATAGCAAGTTTTGCATGGAGTGTGATTAGGGAGGCCGCATGTTGTTCCTGGAACCCCGTGGTTTCCGTTAGTTCCATCATCTTGTCTAGGGTACGATATGCAAGGCCAGGAGGTTGACATGGTTCAGTTTTGTGGCGCTCGCCTAGGCATTATGGACATCATGCAATAAAGCATTGACGGAGGGCTAAATCTTCAAGCATCCAACGGATATTACATATAAATGGTTGTGTTCATGTAGCTATGAAGACCGCGGGACCGACAACGCATTGACATCGTCATTGACAAGCTTTGCTCTTGGTGCCACGATCTCCGTATCACTACTTGGCGACAAAAAAATGGCCAGGCGAGCCTATCGTCAGGATGCAGACCATGGGGAAATGTGGCCCTGGAGCGACCCCTCTATTTTCGAACTATCTCTCATTTGGATTACTCGCGATGTGTCGCCTATGGCCCTCACAACGTCCAATAGTAGTGTGATGCACATGGCGCTTCATATTGGGCTGGCCCATGTAGCAGCGGGTGCTGTAGCAATTTCAAGCTACTATAGCGATACCCCTAAAAAAAGCTACTATAGCGATTACATCTGATGTAGTATTCGGTACTGTAGCATCTGGTTTTTAGTTGGGTTTTTCAGTTTTGAACAGGAAATTTCTATATAATTTTTGTAAAACTTGAATATTTTTTGGAAAATAGGAACTTAGTTTGAAAACATGGACATTTTTTGAAAGCAAGAACATATTTTCTGTTAGACACTCAATTCGTTTCCAAAAACATGTTTTTTCCGTTTATGAGAGACACTCGTGGAAGAAATAAAACAGAAAACACATCTTTTTTTGTTTCCGAGTGATACGTCGCGAAAGCACAACCGTGCCTCTTGCAGAAGGAAAAAAACAATAGAAAAATTGTTTTTTCCGTTTTCGAGAGGCACGGTCGTGCTTCTCGCGAAAGCAAAACCGTGCCTCTCGTGAAAGAAAAAAAAGAAAACATGTTTTTGTTTCGTTTTTCGAGAGGCATGGTTGTGCCTCTCGCAAAAGCAAAATCGTACCTCTCGTGAAAGCAAAAAAACCGTATTTTTCCGTGCAATTTTTTTTTGAAAAACCAAAAAGAAAAACCCCCAAAAAACCCGTTTTAAAAGCCTAAAATGCATGAAAAAAAATCTGAAGGAAGCGCCCAAAGCGTGACACATGACGACATCTGAAAGCGCGTCAAGTGGCGTTGATCATTGTGAGGCTTTTGAAGGAACGTTGAACGCCTCCGTCTTAAAAAAAAGATTCCACCTCATGGCAGACCCATCCGACGGGATCTAATATCTGGTCCTCGGCGCAGCCCAGCCCACCACGCAACCATCCTCGGGCCGCCACTCTCGGCCCCTCGGCCCAGTTC